ATATAAATTGAAAGCGGTATATTTACCCTAAAAATCAATCTATCCTTAAAATATACCCCTTTCAATTTAAACAAGATTCCTATGGCTGAGATTTAATCAAATAAGCGAATGAATGTCATTACGTACTGTCATCGATGACATGAGTAGATTGAACTCATTCGTGACAATAGTCGTAATTTTATGGATGAATTCAGTGTGTTTTTTATAATATTATCCAGATTTGGTACTAAAGAGCCGAGCCGATAAAGCAAGTATCTTACGACGAAACGTCGGATGTCTATCAGTGAGGATGACAGTAAAATTTCACCACTTTGATTTACTGTATTGTGTAGTATGTAGTATTCGTGTTGATGATATCTGATTCGATTCCATAACGAATATTTGGAATACAAACTGAATAGAGAAAAGTGTTCATTTGTATAGGTCAGTGTTCATATAAAACTATTTGTTTCAAAAGTATTTTTCTTTCATATTATTCAATGTTTAAATAAAAGCAGCTGTTTCGAGGAGGCTTTTTCTTTCAGTTTGGGTCTGACAGTTACTTCTTCGCATGATCTATCTATCAATCAAATTGATTGTTTCCTTCCATTTTTTTGGAAGATTTACACATTTCTTCGTATGAAGATGGAGAAGTAGAAAGTCAAAAACTTTCTTCTCCAAGGTTATATACTAGTATAATGTTGGAAAAAGCAGCACAGTCAATCAATGAAGATTTTTGAAGGAAAAATGTTAATCATTGAACTGAAAAGTGACAAGTGATACTTTTGTTTTTTTTTATAGAAGTAACGTTTCAACCAGTATTGTTGAAGCTGTCAAAGAATGGAAAAAACATTTGAAATATCGATATAAATAGATATTATTCACAGGATATATCACAGAATGTAATATATGAGAAAATACTGCTATACAATTTTACTTACAGAACTGAGAATATACCTAAAGGCTTTTGGGCGAAAACATTAGTTTTCAACTTCTCATCTGTACATTTCAGATACTTTTGAAGAACAATACACCCACTCTTCCAATAGAAAAATTAATAAAAATAATGATAACAATAATCAGTGGTAGCTTGCTTAATTTCACTGAGCAATAATCAATAAGAATGCTCAAATCCCAATGATATAATGATATTTCACAAACAAAAGAAAATATGAAAATGAAAATCCAACCAATTTAATACTGAGAATTCTGAAGTGAATATAATTTCAGTCGGTTTTCAAAATTTAAAATGCATTCACGTTATCACTCCATCGTAGAGCGGACTATGGCTTTCGGTCGGGATCACTAGGAATGATTGCGGAGCGGGATTGTCCTGGATATTTGTCAGCAAAACTATATACCGAGTTCATCATCTGCCCGGTATAGTTTTCAACACTGAACGAGGTGACCACATCTTTGTCACCAAGTTGGACCCGTTCAGCAAAAAGCTCTTATAAACAAGGAGAAGTCATAGCATGGGGTCTTCTTTAATAACATTGGAGACCTTGGCTTATCAAAGTGTCTGACTTTTGCTTTCCTCAGGACGAGTGGGCTGAAGTCGGAAACTGAGGGCTTCATCATGGCTTGCCAGGATGGTGTCTTCAACACCTTAGTCTACCGCAGTCGCGTGATGGGTATAGAGATTCCTTACACAAGGTGCAGGGCCTGCCGCGAGGCGTCCGAAACCCTAATGCACTTGCTATCAGCATGTCCAGCTAATGTGGTCTCCGCATATATCCATCGACATGACGCTGCCCTCAGAGTGCTATATTACCATCTACGGCACTCTTACGGTATTGACGAGACACCTGTGTTGCCCTACGCTCCGGGGGATATTGAATCCGTTGTGGAAAACAAGAAGTGCCGAATTTATTGAAACTATCCGTTCCCCACCCTCAGGATCATCCAAGTTAATAAGCCCGATGTAGTCCTTCTTGACCACCAGAGCAAGACGATGTTTGTCGTGGAGTTTTCAGCTCCTGGCGAGACTAATATCACCCGAAAAGAGAAGGAGAAACGGATAAAATATCGAGGTTTTCTCTTCGCACTCCGCAGACTCTATCCAGACAACTCTGTCAAGATGGTTGTTCTGATTATTGAAGTCCTTGGTGAAATGATGTCCTTTCTACTCTCGAATCTTGAAATCATACCTTCCTGCCGCACTAAAGCAGAAATCTTAGCCGGACAGATGCAGAAGTCTGTCATTCTTGGCTCACTGCGCTTATCATTTGAACTAATACTTACATTACTCCAGTGTTGAGTGAAATATCGAGTTTACCTTGAGATTGGGAGATGTTTTTTCACATCTAAATTTCAGATTGATATCAACACACAGCAAAACGGCTTGTCTGTACGTTTGTTCGTTATCGATAAACTCAAAACCTACTTTACCGATTTTGAAAGTTCTTTCATCTATAGAAAGCTACATTGAGCTACAGTATACTCGGACATCGAAATTTTGGCAAAGTTTCAGAGTACTAGTGTTATTCCAACAGGGTCAAAAAAATGAACAATTCAAATATACAAGAGGTCGACGGCCAGGTTAAAAATTATAAATCGATCAACACTGTAACTAACTAAAGTCGAAGATGTAGCCCATTATTCATAGGATTTTTAACACCTCAACCTCTGATCTGTCACTTAATAAACTAATATTGACAATAGGAACATCAATTACGCTTTTCGGACATTTGAGTCCTCCTAATATGTGCAGTGCGATAAGATCACTTGAAAAAAATGATAGACTGTTTAATTATTATGACCATTATCACGATCTCTGCAGTCGGTCAGTCAGCTTAGACTACCGATGATTCCTACCAATTGGCCAATTCTGTTTGATTCCTTCAATTTTCAGTGATAACATCTTCTGCTCCCATAATTGATGAGTTCCTGGGTCAAACTTTTTATTTAGTAGGGATTGACCTACGAAAGCGAAGCTTTACCCATAACGTTAATAAAAAACACTTGAATGTGAGTTTTTTACTTCGGAGGTCATAAAACCTTGATTTTTTGAATTGTCAAGTGGAAATTTCACGTGAAAGTGTTTTTTTGAATACGTTATAATGGATTTTCATCAAGTATCGGTCAGTTATATCTTAGCTTCGCTCATACCCAACTGTATTTTGACCTTAGGCGGGTTGGGACTCCAGGAAATCAGTTTATGTTGCTACCACGAAATGATAAAATATGAAATCACGTGTTTCTAGCTCATTAGCTGTCATCAGTACGGTATAACCAAGTGCAAGGTTAGGCAACACTTGGTTATAGGAACAACACAAATGAACGGAGTCATCAACAGAAGTCAGCCGCACTTTGTGGTTTCGTTCAGGTCATCTTGGGTTAGAGATTTCACTGAAGTCATGGACGTAGAAAAATAAATGGACTCGGCAAACCAATACCTTCAAAACAGAATGTTTTGAAACCGCTCGGTTCGGTGGCGAGCGGGTAACGGGGAAGGAGGAATCTTGCGATAGACTGTAACATACCCTCCAACGACAGTGGCGCACGCAATAAATTCAATATGGGCAATGTAAACGAAAATATGCAAAATGTTAAATACTTATGAAAACTTCAGAGATCTATTCATCAATTATTGTTAGAGATTATAGATATTTCCGATATCAATTACAGGAAAACTTCATTGTATTCGAAATAAATATAATTACTCGAAAAAGTCGGTTCTTTTAAAAAACTGTTGAAAATTGATAAATAAAAAAAGAGGAAAAAGGAACAATGTTTTGAATTGAGTATTTTGATCTATTCTAGTTCTATCATATTGAAGGTACAAAATGACAATCACAAAACGGTATTTCTTTATAATTTTAAGAGTAGATGGGTTACTAAAGTAATTAGTAAGAAGATAATATTCACCTTTTGATTGAATTTACAATTTGACTGTCTAATTTTCTTTAACCCACCATTATTTTGTCGTAGCAGACTTTCTCTCTCTAACAACGAAAATCATCAA